GTGTGTGTGTGTGTGTGTGTGTGTGTGTGTGTGTGTGTGTGTGCGCGTGCGTGGTGAACCCGACTCTGATTGGGAATGATGCCGAAGGACGCCACCCGCAAACCGCCACTCGGTGCAGCAGGGCTCCCGCCCCACCAGGACGCCCGGAACGGTCTCGTGCGCCCTGGCCACCATCTTGCTGGAGTTGAGCGCCGAGTCAAACGGCAGCGGCGGCGGCGTTGACCGCGCGCTTTCCTTGACCCAGTAGCCCGCCATGCCGGTCTGGCGGGGGCGCAGAGGCAGCGGGGGCGCGGCGGCGGCGGGGCGAGGCGGGGCGGGGCGAGGCCGGGCGGGGAGCGCCGGGGTAGCAAATCACGTGCGGCAGGCGTGGATCGTTATGCAAGGGGGCAGCAGTAGCTGAGTCCAATAAAGCACAGAGTAACTTGACGATCACTGCTAGGCAACGCCTCCGATCGTGACTCTACCCTGCAGTGTGGCGGCTTGGAATGCCAGATGCTTGCGCATGGTCGGTGTTTCCCCGCACCACTACTATAACCAGCGCGCACACAGCACACACCCGGCAAACCAGCCAGCTCACGTCGGCGGGGACGGGCACGAATTGAAACTCCTTGTCTGCCATTAGTAGCGGAGGGTCGGGCGCATAGGGCCCCACCACTTGCTGGGGCGCCCCGGGCTTCTCCCTTGGGGCCTGCGCCTCGGGCACCGCCGCCAGCGAGGGCTGGCGCGGCAGCGACAGCACCGTGGTCAGGACGCGCTTCAGGGAGGCCCCGCCGGCCAGCAGCGACGGCGGCGGCGCGCCCTCCAGCGACTGCGCGGCCTTGAGGGAGGCGGCGCCGATCGAGGTGGCGCGCTTCAGGGAGGCCGAGGGCTGGACGGTGGGGGCCGCATGGGCGGCGGCGGCAGCCATGGGGGTGGTGGGCTCGCTGGCGGCGCCGTCGTCGCTGGGGCGGAAGGAGGTCTGGGCGGTCTGGAAGCGGCTCAGCGTGTCGAACCACTGAGCGTCTGCCGGCAGAAGGCGAGGGGTGCGGCGGTGTGTGGGGGGCAGCGACGTTGGGTGCCGAGGGGATGGCCATTAACCCACGCCCAGGGATGGCGTGAGATGGGCCTTGACATTAGAGACTGGGCAACACGCACACACCATGCACGGCCGGCACCGCGCACACGCATGGGAGGAGGGCGCCGGCACACGCCGAAAATTCTGCATGGATTGTCATCAACCATCACATGCAATCATCCTACGCTGGCAGATGCCCCGCGGCGGCGCCGGCTGAGGTCGGTGCGCACCTGAGAAGGTGCTGCGCGCAGTGGTCAGGCGCCGGGAGCCGCCATAGTTGCTGGCCTGGGCGCTCAGCGTGCGCTGCGGCCGCATCTCCTCAGGCTGCTGCGACGGCAGCACCACTGCGCAGGCAAGGCGAGTCGGCGCCGGGGGTGGGGGCAGCAGCGCGGCGAGGGTGCCTGTCAGACAGGCAGGGCCAAGAGCTCAGTGCATTGTGTTCTAGCGCTGGAAGAACAACATGTTGGGTTTGCGACACTACACGCGCGTCACAACACATCGCTGACATGCACTCGCATGATGCAAGGACAGGCAAAGGGGTGCCTCGCACCTGGCCCCTCAGGGTCTTTGACCGCCGGCGCCAGGCAGGCGCAGGCCAGCAGCCCCCGCGGGCTGCACTCCCACACCGCACGCCGCCCGCCTGCGCGGCCGGCCTGCGCCGCCTGCCACTTCTCCACCTTCTCCAGCGACTCCTGGCGCGTCCACTCCTGGCGCGGCTCGCCGCCGGCGCTGCCGCCTGCGGCGCTGCTGCCCTGCTGGACCGCGGCGCTGTTCTCAAGCTCCTTGCGCATGCTGTGCACAAATGCAGATTGCTCCAACATGTGTCGCGCCTGGTCGGGGCCTGGGCGCTCGTCGCCTGCGGTGCAGCCGGGTCCATGAGGGGCGTCTGGTCGCGTATAGGCAGGTCACCAGGGCTTGGTGGCAGTTGTGGGCGCCGCCACAATGCCTCACACAGCAAGCAGGGGTAAATGAGAGTTTTCATGATCCAACCTATTAACGTGCTGCCGCACCAGAGGTGCGCGACCCAGCGCAGCGTGGCCCGCCATTGGGCTGCAGCGCACCGTGAAGGGCAGCCGGGGCGGTGTCGGCCACCATGGCCGATTGCTGCACGCCCAATGAAGCGGCTTCCATTGCTGTGCTGGTAAGGATGCTTGTGTATGTCGCAGGGGTCCTGCTCACGAGGTGGTCCGAGAGCAGCGAGGACGTCGGATCACTCAGACTCACTGCGACGATCACTCAATCGAGCTCTCTCGGGAAGGCGTCGACCTGCGTTCAAGGTCCACCGCAGCGTCAAAGAGAGCTCAGACACCTTCAATCGCTCTTCTGTCTATGGACACCATCATTTGCGGGAAGAGTGAGCTGCGCCACCCATGCCCTGCAACTGCCCGGTGAGCTCCGCGTCGGGCTGTCACACCTAATCGACCATATTGGCATGCGGTGCATGTTGATGATCAAAACTACTCAGTGTTTAAGTGGGCTCATGGATTCATGCGCGAGGCTGCCACCGCTCATCGCTCGAATTTGCGACATGCCATCAGTTGTCCAGGCCCTCCTTTAGACGCGGCCGCTTGAATGGTGAGCAGCTTTGAGAAGGGTCGCAGGCTCCCGCGGGATTTCTTGGAGCGGTTTCAGGTGGCGGCGCTGCTGAGCACATTAAGGTACATGTGGCAACAGCCTCGCGGTGCTGCGGTTGTGCGGCTGCAACGAGGTACGTTGCCACCCACTTGACTGGTGATGCATTCAGCTCGCGATACTGCATTTTTCAGCCTGTACAAGCACACGTGCCAGCAGCTGTATCAGGGCAACGGCCATGAAGCAATTTGATTGCAGGCAACTTTGCGCCTCGCAATCCGCAACGGGTAATTCCTTGGTTGTTCAACCCGCTGGTAGTTCTGTTGCCAGTCATCCTACGCATCAATGATTGAGCATCTGTACATGCAGAGGAGGGTTCCAGGGCTCTGCTGTGGGACGATGCTGCTCTCATTGTCATCCCTGGCAGGATTTTTTGGATGGGCATGCCGCACCGCCTGCGCCGTGCGCACGCTGCCACCAAGGACTTCGCCAAGGCCATGCTCCGCATGTTCGAGGGGAGTACTCATCATGTCTCACAGGCTTTGCGGAAAGAAAAGGGCTGCTGATGAGCTGAGCACCAGATGACCACGCTTGTCGAGACGACCGATCTGGAAAAATGATACAGTCAACGGCATGTTTTTGTGAACTTTCAAGCCTGATTTCGCGTATTTGGTCCATACCTCCATACGTCCTCCTCTCCGCTTTTCTCGAGAGGCTTGCACTGCGCCGGCGGCAGCCGATCCTTTCGCATAGCACGCACCAGCAACACGACAAGAATGCAGGCTCAAATCACGATGCGCCCTGGGACGATGCGCGCGGGCGTGGCTCGCCGCATCTCCAGCTCCCGGCCCAGCCTGCACAAGGTACATTGGGTCTTTCAGCGCGATGAGCATCGCTGCACGACTTAAATCCTTTAGCGCATGCTGGCTGTGCCGACCGACCTGCAATGTGTGCCGTCGGCCTTGGCGTCAACGCCGCCCTGACGCCGTTCTCGCCCCGCGCTGTGGGCTACATGCGGTGCAGGCCAGGGCCACGGCCACCGCCGGCATCGACTGGAAGACAACCGCCGAGCAGCTCGACGCAAAGAGCCCCCTCGAGATCATGGACCACGTGAGACTGCGAGGCTGGCGCCGCAGCCGCCAGCTGGGCTGCCAGCCTGTAGCACTGCCAAATGACTCGTGCCATGCCAGCTGGGCCATGCGGGGCGGCTGCGCCGCCCCACACCATGGAGCTGGCAATCCGCCGACCCTTCCCCCCCCCCCGGGCTCTGACCTCGCGCCCCCCATCCCGGTTGCCCGGCCGCGTCCGTCCGTCCATCAACCCCCTGCGCCTCGGCTCGCCGCCGCCCCCGCAGGCGCTCAAGACTTTTGGCACCGACGTCGGCATCGCCTTCTCTGGCGCCGAGGATGTGGCTCTCATCGAGTACGCCCACCTGACCGGCCGCCCCTACACCGTCTTCAGGTGCGCCGAGGCGCGAGGAACTGCCCGCGCCCGCCGTGGCCCTGCGTCGCGGGTTTGGGCGGGCGGGCGGCCGCCGGCTGTTCCGCGGCGGCCGCCACACGCATCTTGCGGCGCCCCGGACGCAGCCGCTCGGGTGCACACCTGCGCCGCCCCCTGCCCGCCTCACGCCCGGGGCCTTGTCTCCTGCGGCCCCGTTGCCCGCGCCGCAGCCTGGACACGGGGCGCCTCAACCCCGAGACGTACCAGCTGTTTGACGCCGTGGAGAAGCACTACGGCATCAAAATCAACTACACCTTCCCAGACGCACAGGCGAGGGCGGCGGC